TTGTGCTAGAATCATTACGAGTAGCATAATGTATTTCAACTTAGCAAAAGAGTTATGGATTTGAAAGTACACTGCTAGACAACCTGCTGCTATCCAATAAAAATAAGCAAATTGGTGTTCTACCATGCAAAACTAACTATATACGACTTCACCGGCTGTAATATAATATGTAAGTAGTGTTTAAATTACGAAAGCTCATCAATAACCTGCGGTACTAACCAGGGTCATAGTGATATAGGAAAAAAAAAATGTTATTAGGCACCAATTGACTTGAATGGACAGTAAACTTCTATAGGGATTTGTTTTTGCTACAAATCAATGAAAGTGATCAGTGCTGTAGCTTTTAATAATAATGCTGGTGATTCGAGTCAGATAATCTCAAGGAGAACACACCAAGTAATTTACCTTATACCACACTCCTTCAAGACCTGCTTTTCGCACAGCTGGTACGACATCTAGGCCCGGGAATATTCTGCGCGAGAAAAAAAAAATAAAAAAAAAAATGAGAAGAAACCAAAACTGATCTTTTCATTAAACAATTTGCATTTTTAAGACATGGAATCTATGTTACCTAAACCCGGCACCTACGCCGGCGTGCCCGGGTCGACACGACACGACACGACACGGGAAGAGGTACGAAATCAGGCTCCGATCCGGTGAAAATAGACCGGATATGTTGACCATCGACAGCTTTCGGGACGAGTGAAGACGATATAATAAACCTTGTGGGAACGAAGGGAAAAAAAAGATGGTTAAGGGTTAGGGTTACCGGTTTGGGTGGTCGGATCGGAGGAAGAGGGCCGATGGCATGGTGGTAGCTGTGAATCGGGGGATCACAGCCGGAGGAGATGAGGAATTAGGGTTTCCACAAATCAGGAATGGACGTTAGCGGGATCCGTTTGGTATGGGGCCAAATTGTTTGGGCCAACATCTTTTATACTACCTCCTTTTTTAAATAAGTGTCGTTTTGACTTTTTTGATACATCCATTTTGCTATGTATTTAGACATAATATATGTCTAGATACATAGCAAAATGGATGTATGTCTAGATACATAGCAAAATGGATGAATCAAAAAAGTCAAAACGACACTTATTTTGAAAAAGAGGGAGTATTGTTTATGATTATTTGATGGGTTGTTTCTTATTGAAAAATTTAGGCGAATTTTTTTATATACCACAAGAATATACATATTTTGCAAATTTACGAGATCTCATATCTTATTAGCAAGGATACTAAATTGAAGTGCATTTATTATATGGTGAATTCAAAACGGCCGAACTAAAAGGAATCCCACCTTCCTACAATCACGCATCATAGAAATTCAGTTGGGGAAAAAAAAAGTGGATATAACCTATTTGTTAGGAACCTTTTTTTATATCAGAATACAAGAAAATATAATTTGAAATTCTAGAATATCACTCTCTCAAAATACAGAAAAAAACACGACAAGATATACAACTCATCAAGATCCGACAGATGCTCGATGGTCATGGCTGTGGTTTCAGGTCTTAATCCGAGTCTTGGATTCAATTCAATCAGTTTAAATATACAGACGATATACAAAAATATATACACAAAAGATATAAATAAAAGATAAACCAATCTAGTCATTATATACCGAAAATATACCAAAGATATACATAAGATATACACAGAAGATAAACGAAGTTTGTCATTATATATTAAACATATACCTAAGATACACAAAAAAGTAAACATAAATTTCAGTGATAACCAATAACAGATATTTTTCACTGGACAAAGAATATTTTCCGTATATGTTTTGTTTATATTTAGTATATGTTTTGCTCGACTTGGACAAAAAATATTTTCCGTATATGCTCGAAATCAAGTTCCCACCGCCCTCAGTTCGCCGTTCGACAATCCTGCCACTCTTAGCCGAAAGGGACTGCCGCATGATCTTATTCATCCTTCAGCCATCGAAAACGCCGGTTGCCGCGCCACTTCCCCCGCAAGTCCTCCATCAATGATGATTCATTTTTCGAGACGCTAAAAAGATAAGAAATAATGCCGAAAGAGACATAAGGAGAAGAAAAAATGGCTGACAGATGCGCCCCCTGTCAAAAGAGAGGATGAACAGTGATTAGGCGTGAAAGGTGGAGATGGTTTTTATTTTATTTGGTAACTGCTCCTAATAAAGTTGTCTATATTGAATATATCGTATGTTTGCAAATAAAAATTATATGATCG